TGTGTGCGTGCATATGTGTGTGTGTGTGTGTGTGTGTGTGTGTGTGTGTGTGTGTGTGTGTGTGTGTGTGTGTGAATCGGCCTGTAGAATATGTGGGGACTCTGAGGTACACAGGGTAGAAAGAAAGGAGCAGAGAGAATTTGGGTCTTGGCTGGAATTCCAAGTTTCTCTCTGTTACGGATTTGCTAGGTGACAGCATACCCAGCCTGTGACTCAGTTTCCTCATCTGTTGACTTGGCATAGTTGCCACCACTTCCCAGAGAGGAGTGAGGCTCCTGGGAGATCAGGAACAAAGGCACCTGGTGCCCAGCCTGACCCTTTCTACTCCAGATGTGATGGGAACTGTGGCAGTGACAGAGAGTAAGATGGGGACTGTCTAGACTGCAAGATCTTGGGTGCTACCCTAGGCCTCCTGAATCAGATCTGTGGGGGTTTATTGTAAGATTTTGTCTGTTTTGTTTTAATGGGGGGTCTTGCTTATTTGTTTGTTTTTTGGGATAGCATCTCCATATATAGCCCTGGTTTACTGGAACTAATTTCCTCATCTCTGTCTCTGTCTCTGTGTCTGTGTCTGTCTCTCTCTCTCTCTCTGGACCTGGACCTATGCAGACCAGACTCAAACTCACCAAGATCCTCATGCCACTGCTCCCCAAGAGCCAGGATTCAAAACATATGCCACCATGCCTGGCCATATCAGCTAGACCCCACATGACTTTTTTTGTCTTTTAAAATGGGATGCCTATGTAGCCCTGACTGACCTGGGACTTGCTGTGCCCACTACAGGCTGGCCTCAAACTCAGATCTGCCTGCGTCTGCCTCCTGAGTGCTGGGATTGAAAGCGTGTACCATCACATCCAGCCCCTACATGGTTTTTATACCTATTAAAGTTTTCAAAGTTCTAATAGATGGCTCCCCAGCTTTCCCCTTCCTTCCCATACCCAGCTCTCCTTACCTGGACAGTGACTTAGGGTACAGGAGGCTGAGAGACTTCATGGCATAGTCCATCCTTGTCAGCTGGATTGTGTTGGACCTGGATCGGAGGCAGTAACCTATCTGGTTAGAGTGGGAAGGGAGGGAGGGGTCCCTCTCTTTCTTTCTTTGACTCAGTGGATCCCAGCCCCCACACGGCAACCCTCTGCCCCAGTCTCTCCTCCTACCCCCCAATTTCCCTGAATCCACACCAACTACACTGAGTCAGCGTCTACCATCCCCACCCATTCCACAGCCCCAGAACAACTCACTCCATGTTTCTCTGCCCCAAGCTCTGGTTACACTGAGCTGAGGAACCCAAGTCAAGGCTGAAGAGGCCCTCACTGATTTGTCCCTGTCCCTGGGGGCAGAGTCCACATTATGCTGGCAGGAGGTGAGTCATACCACCTCATGCTGTGAGAGACTTGAAAGTCACCTATTGTCCAGAAACTCCACAGGCAGTCAGACCTTGGAGAGCCTGCTCTAACCATGGGCCCTTGAGCAATAAAGTCCTCCTGAGGCTTAGAACTGGCTAAGAGAACTTTCTGTGATCTTAAAGACTGTCTAGGCTTGTGTTCACCAATACCTTAGCTGTTACCACTGAGCCCTTGGCACCATAACTAATGTGACAAAGGAGCTGACACCGAACTTCTATTGAGGCTTAACTAATTTAGTTAGGTAACTACTGTGGTTTGTGACGCCAGGTACCCCACTGGACATTACAGTTGTAGTGGAGTAATCCTGGGCTCATGTGCCCCCTGCCTTTCCTCCTATATTGCTGTTCTCTGGTTCTTGCCTGCTGAGCTGCAAGTCTCTGCACAGGCAGTCTCTTCTACCTGCAATGCTTGTCTCAAACTCAGAGCTCAACATAAGTCACCTAGAAGCCCCAGCTCCTGGCTGCCAACTCAGGAAAGCCTTTTCTGGTGCCCTCTTGCCTGGTACCAGATTGATCCCTGTGCCCTGCCCTTCCATGTTCATTTCTGCTGCAGCTCTCGGGTCCCCACTGTGCCTGTTTTCAGCCCGTAGCACAGGGACCCAGTGTGAACACCAGGAGTGGGCAGGCATGGAGAACTGCCTCCTCAGTGAAGGAAAACCATTCTTCCCTTCTGATAACTCGGGTTCTCCCCGGTCAACCTTACAGAGTTAGAGACCCTCGTCCCCACTTAATGCTACCCAAGCACTCTTGTTTCACCCTGTTTCTAATACCCACCACTCACACAGCTCCACAAAACCCACCACACCTGCTCTGTGGTAGCCAAATACCCCAGCTCTTCTCCTCCCCCTCACCTCCTAGCCTCCTGGCAATACTGCGTGGCCAGGCACAGCCCAGGCCTCCTCCATTTTATTTCTATCTCCTGTGAAGCCACTCCCTTGGCCCCCAGCCCCAGCTGGGGAAAAGAGCACAGGGAGTGAGTCTGAAACTCTCCCCTAGGGATTTCAAGCCAGACTGACTTCCAGAAAGCCCCGAAAGGGGGAAGAAGGCATGTTTCGAAAGCTCTAGAAGGAAGAGGTACTGCCCAGGACTTGGTACCAGGCAAGAGGGCACAGAAAGCAACAGACGGGGCTTGTGGTCTGCGTTCCACCCCTCACACCAGCTGTTTGCGCTCACCCGAGTTGCCTTCTTTCAGCCCTGGATTTTCTCCTGTGCATGAGGAATAACGCTCCTGTTGAAGCCAGGAATGGTGGCTCAGAGCTGTAATCTCAGCACTTGGTAGACTGAGGCATAAAAAGGGCCATGAGTTTGAAGCTAGCCTGGGCTATAGAGTTAGGTCCTGTCTCAAAAACAAAAATATAGTCAGACGGTGGTGGCACACACTTTTGATCCCAGCACTCGGAAGGCAGAGGCAGGCGGATCTCTGTGAGTTCAAGGCCAGCCTGGTCTCCAGAGCGAGTGCCAGGATAGGCTCCAAAGCTACACAGAGAAACCCTGTCTCGAAAAAACAAAATAAATAAATAAATAAAAAAGAAATATCTTTTTTTTTTTTGAGTCAGGCAAGATACTTGAGTTTTATTATGTCTGTCTAAAAGCAGGTGTTAGGCCTATTTGTAGTGAAGCGTGGTGTGCTGGCGCTGCAACACCCGGTGAGGAAGCAGGAACCTGATCTCAGAGCCCAAGAACTGCTTGACAGCAGGCCTTCGGCACTTGCCCTCTGAAATCTCTTCCACCTTCATCAGGTTAATGGAGTGTGCACGGGCACAGTGCGGGGCACCCGTGTCTTGGTAGCACTGTTTGACGGCTCCAGCAGCGGTCAGGTCCCGGTATTCTTGGCACATGTTGTGTGTGTCATGTTGTGAGTTGTAGTGCAGCCATACCGCAAAGTTCTTCACCCGCAGTGGGGCCTCAGGTCGCACTGCACAGTGTACGATCTCCTCGGATGACTTCTTCATCTTGTTCATCTGTGCCCAAAATCGGGACTTGGCCACCACATGGTTCGTCGCAAAGATGTGCATGAGGTATAGGAGTGGTGTGTGGCACTTCCGGGTGGGCAAGCAGCGCCCCACCACCTTGTACTCCCGAAGCGTGCCTGAGGCCTTCGTGGCTGATCTGTCCTTGTTGGCCGCCAGCCACAAAAATAAAAGGAAATATCTTGCCTATAATGTTACAATCCCATCCAGCACTTGGGAAGCCAAGGCAGGAAGGCCTCTGTGGATGAGACCAGCCTGGGCTACAGAGTGACAACCTGCCAAGAGAATGGGGTGGGTAATCCCAAATCTTGGGTATAGTGAAGTACAGGACTCAAGAGACAGAGGCAGGAGGATCATCTCCAGTTCAAGACAAGCCCGAGCTATAAGGCCTCAAAAACAAAAAAAGAATATTAGATCTATGATTTATTGCTATAAACACTACAACTTAAAAAAAATTAAAATAAGGACAGCAAGATGACTCAGTGAATGAGGGTTTGAATTTGATCCCCAGTACCCACATAGTACAAAGAGAGAACTGACTCCCATAGGTTGTCTTTCCGTGAAAACTCTCCCTCCCTTCCTCCCTCTCTCTTTCTCTCTCTCTAAATGAAAATGTTTACATCAAAGCCTCTACAAAGAGCATTCATGTTACACCTAGCGTTGGAGAGATGTCTCAGTGGTCAAGAGCGCTGACTTCTCTTCCAGAGGATCCAGGTTCTATTACAAGTACCCATGTGGCAATTCACAATCATTTATAACTCAGTTCCAGGGGATCTGACTCCCTCTTCAGGCCTCTGTGGGCCTTCATGTGTGTGGTGCAAAGACTTGCACGAAGGCAAAACACTGTACACATAAAATAAAAATAAGAGACAGAAAAGGGAATTTATTCAGTGTGGCCATACCAGAAAAGATGAGAGGACCAGTCTCTTCAACCCTGTTTTTGGAGTGCAGATGGTAGCTCTAGGAATTTACAGGAGAAGAACAAAAAATGGGATGAGCTGGTGGTGCAGGCCTCTCAGTGCTTGAGAGGCAGAGGCAGAGGCAGGGGAATCTCTGTGGGTACAAGGACAGCCTGACTGACCTGGTGGATTCCGGGCTAACCGAAACTACAAAATAAGACACTACCTCTAAAGTTAAAACAAAAAAGGGAGGCAATAAGTATGCATAGCTAAGCATTCTATTCTATTCTGCCCAAACCACTCTAATTGACGGCTACCTCCAGTCTGAAGTAAGGGTCCTGCAGTAGCTAGGAAGAGGACTACCTCCCAGGCTGACTGTTCCTGGCTCTGGCAACAAACTGAAAAGGAAAACTGGTTCAGAAGGAGATCAGAGCAGAGGGGCCAAATTAGAACGAGGATTGTGCCTTCCTTCAGGTTTAGAACAACCACTGGAGAATTTTAGGTACTGCTGTGGTAGTTTGGAACAAGACGAGGCAAAAACTTATTACTGGCAATCTGTAATGTCCCCATAAATCCTTTTTATATCTATTTTTAAAAAGATTTCTATATTATATGTACAGCATTCTGTCTGCATATATGCCTGCAGGCCAGAAGAGAGCTCCAGATTTTATTACAGATCGTTGTGAGCCACCATATGGTTGCTGGGAATTAAACTCAGGACCTCTGGAAGAGCAGCCAGTGCTCTTAACCTCTGAGCCATCTCTCCAGCCCTCTATTTTATTTTTTAAAAGAATTATTTTATGTGTATGAATATTTGCATGTATGTATGTGCACCACATTCATGCAGTGCCTATGGAAGCCAGAAGAGGACGACAGATTCCCTGAAACCAGAGTTACAGGGGGCTGTGAGTTGCTTTATGGTGCTGAGAACTGAGCTTCCTTCCTGTACAAGAAAAGCACATGCTGTTAACCACTGAGCTGTCCCTCCAGCCCTCCCCCACCCCTTTGTGTGTGTGTGTACTTGTATGTGTATGTATGTGGACATGTGAGCATGTGTGGAAGTCAGAGGATGGTTTGCAGGAGTTGGTTCTCTCCTTCTACCCTGTGGGTCCTAGGGATAAAACTCAGGCTGGTAGCATGTCCCTCTACCTGCAAAGCCATCTCCTGGGCTTTGTCCCAATAAATTTCTTGCTCTCCCTTGGTATCTTCATTCTTAAAGGGGAAGGACAGAGCTACAGGTACAATGGGTGAAAATTGGCCTTTAGTTACCAGTCTTGAAGATGAGTACTTAAATTTTTTTCAGAATCCTTTTTTTTTTTTTTAAATCTTTTTATTTATGTATACAGTATTTTGTCTGCATGTATGCCTCCAGGCCAGAAGAGGGCACCAGATCTCATAATGGATGGTTGTGAGCCACCATGTGGTTGTTGGGAATTGAACTCAGGACCTCTGGAAGAGCAGACAGTGCTCTTAACCTCTGAGCCATCTCTCCAGCTCAAGAATCCTTTTTTTTTTTTTTTTTTTTAAGGCAGGGTTTCTTTGTGTAGCCTTAGTTGTTCTGGAATTAGGTTTGTAGACCAGGCTGGCCTGAATTCAAAGACCCACCTGACTCTGCCTCCCAGGGTGCTGGGACTAAAGGTGTGTGCCACGACACCTGGCTAAGATGAGTGCTTTTTAAATGCCTATCACATCTACAGGCACAACTGATTGGGAAGCTGATTCAAACCTTGAGATAGCAAAGGGATAGAGGTGTTGATGCAACATAAAGACAGAGATGCCCAGATTTTCTCCTTCCTTTAGTCACTGGGCGGGACTCTGCAGGTCCAGTGAGGACTCACTGGCTCTCTTGTTAAAGCCTTATTTAGAGTTAAGCCAATCCTTGGAAGAGGCATCATTCATTCATTGAACACTTGCAGTGTGTTACCCTGTTAATTCAGCAGAAAGCAAGACAGCTTTAGGCCACACCTGGAGCAGCTGGACCAGAGACCAAGTGGAAGCAGGAATGCTGATGTACACTTCTCATCCTGATCCCCTGGAGGCTGTCAGCCTGGGCCACACAGTGCGAGATCCTGCCTCAAAAACGTTTTTGCTACCCATTGGTGATTGTACATGTACTTTGTTCTAGCACTCAGGAGGTAGGGCCAGCCTGGTCTACAAAGGACAGCCAATGCTACACAGAGAAACCCTGTCTAGAAAAACAAAACAACAACAGAAACTTTTTTGTCTGATGTTTCATCTTGTTTCTTTTCTAATAATGTACTGGGCAGAGAAAAACAAAATAATGCAGTTGGGCCTGGAGGCTTAGACCTGGGATTCCAGCACTTAAGAGATAGAGGCAAGCTCATTGCTTTGAGTTTAAGGTCCCTCTGCCCTGCATAGTGAGTTGCAGGTCAGTGTGGACTATAGAGTAAGACCTTGACTTTCAAAAAGCACAAGGGGCCAGGCGTTGGTGGCTCACAGCTTTAATCCCAGCACTCGGGAGGCAGAGGCAGGAGGATCTCTGTGAGTTTGAGGCCAGCCTGGTCTACAGAGGGAGTTCCAGGACAGCCTCCAAAACAATACAGAGAAACCCTGTCTCAAAAACAAAACAAAACAAAACAAAACAAAAATGTCAAAAAGCACAAGGGCCATCAAAATGGCTCAGTGGGCAATTACAAACTTGATGACCTGAGTCCATTCCTTGAGACCTACATAATGGAAAGAACTGACTCCCCTAAGTTGTCTTCTGACCTTCACACATACCGTGTGTGTGTGTGTGTGTGTGTGTGTGTGTGTGTGTGTGTGTGTGTGTACATGCACGCGCTCTCGTGAGCAAGTACGCTCCTGATACTAAATTAATAAAAAGGATTAAAAAAGTAAAACCACAAACATGAACCAAACCAATGTGGTGTAATAACCTATGTCTGGAGAACTAACAGGTTTCTGGACCCAGAGAGGTAGAGAAGATAATCTAATGTCTTCAGGGGAATTAGGGGGATAAAGCATCAGAGCATAAAGAAAGTTTCCCTCACTTGGGAAGTAGTGGAGGCAGGAGCATCAGGAATTCAAGGTCATCTCATCTATATAGTAAGTAAGTTCAAGACTAGCCTGGGTTACATGAGACCCTGTCTCAAAAAAAAAAAAAAAAAAAAAAAAAAAA